CAAACCAGTAGGTGGCAGTAGTGTTCTTTGACAAACATGGATGCCTCCAGTAAAGCACATTCACATGAAAATTACTCCTAATTAAAAACACTTATCTTTATCGAACAGGATGTAATAATTTCATATTTAAAGTACTTTCAGAAGTTTGAATTCTGAATATGAATTTTCCTTTAATAGCTGTTTCTAAAAAAAACAAAACTCATTCCTCTTTAAAATCATGCTGTTGGTATTCTCTAATATTTACCTTAATATTTTTTTCATTTATGTAATATTTACACATATTAAAACTATGTAAATATTCATTAAAATGTTTATAATGTAGCTTGAGGCATTTCTTAAATATTTCCAAAATGTTTCTGCTTCCAGAATAATTTCTGGCTTGTAGCTGAGCGTTCTCTGGTCTGAGTGTCTATAAAGCTTTGGGGATGACATGCGGTGCACCAACACCCAAATCACACCCCTGGCACCAGGTCCATCTTGGTGGCATATGGTGGGTGGCTCTTATAGTCAACGGCTCGGTTTCCGTTGGCAGGCTGCATTCAGGGACCTGCTGATCCACCAGTCAGACCACCAGGAGGACGGTACTGGTGGCAGATGCTAGCCGCGGCGCCGTGCTACAAGCTCCTGACGGTCACAGCTGAGGCGAAGTGCGTCACGGTGTAGTATGGAGGAATTTCTGCTGCTGCGGGCAGAGTGGGAAAGGGAGAGGGAGGCGGTGGGGTTGTGCTATGTAAGGAGACCATATGGCTCCAGGAAACACAAATAGAAGCAGAGAAATTCTCCCTAACCATGAAGTGTGATGACACCTACAGCTCGTTTTCTGCTGAGCTCTCTACTTCACCACTCTGTTCCCACAAAGATCAACACTGGAGGAAGGATGGCGTGATCTCCTCCTTAATGAGCTTCATCACAGCCCTGTGGTCCTAAAAAAACCCAAATATCCAACAATGATCCTCAACAAACGAGTGAAACGTGTCACTTTGGGTGAAAATTGGGCTTTGGAATGCGGAGGTTCTGAGTTCAAGCGAAACCCCCACAGAATGACACTCTGGGTCCCTGAGCAAGACCCTTGATGCTAATGCCTGCTTTGGGGAGTGGCGGTGTTCTGTCAGACCAGCATACCCCCTCAGACCAGCATACCCATAGTCAATACACATCAGCAAGGCGTCAGATTGGCGTTTATCCCTTTAGCTTTGTAGGAAAAATACACGTTAAACTAAATCAATGGCTGTGGATCCCTTTAGTCATGTACAAAAAAACAAACAATTTAAGGTCAGATCAACATTCGCTTAAAAAAAACACCAAAAAGTAAGTAATTAAATTGTTTTTTGTACATGACTATAGGGATACACGTCCGTTGAGGTGGTTTAAAGAATATTTTTCACACAAAACTAAAGGGTTAAATGGGTTTTGACCCTGGGTATGCTGGCCTGACAGAACAGCGGCCTAGAGGTTAGGGCATTTCCCCTGGAATCCTGAGGTTCTAAGTTTAATCCCCACTCCCACAGACCGCCACTCTGGGTCCCTGAACACTCTTAACCCCACACTGCTCCCCAGGCACCGCGCAATGGCAGCCCACCGCTCCCCAACGGGATGGGTTAAATGCAGAAGTTAATTTATCCATTGTAAGATCAATAAAGTTCAATTATTATTATTATTAAAAGGATATTATAAAATATTTAAAAAATCCCAAATGAAATTTCTGATGTCATGACCTGAAGCAAACAGCATGGTTTCAAAACAGGGAGTGAAGCGTGGGTTTAATCTGGGTTTATCTATCTTTTTAATCCTGTATTTTTTTTGTTTTGTTTTGTGACCAGTTTCTAAAAAATGTCTCACTTCACTCTTAGTTCTTCATCTTTATGGTTTTGTTGATGCTCGGAGAAGATTGGGTGACATCAGCAGAGCCAATCCTGGACCTGAGTTAATCCAGAAGGACAAATATGAGGGGTGTCAACAGAGAAAGTAACATTTCAATCAGCAAACGGATGTTTGATTAGATAAAAGCTTTATTAAATTATCCTCTTTTAAACCTTCACTTTCATCTTTGGTCTCTTTTCTATTTAAACCTTTTAATTAAGGCTGAACGATTTTGCCAATAATCTAAATTGTGATGATTTTTTACCAAAATCGCAATTTTATTTCTATTTTCCTTTGCACCAACCCCAAACTTTCATTGTTTCATTGTTCCAGGACTTTACTGTAACCATTGTGAGAAAGAGTGTTTACTTCTACTTCCATGCCTGGATCTGCTGCTGGCTCTCTACCTTTCTGTTTGAGTACAAACCAACTTCCAGCGTTTAATCACCACCTAAAGGGCTGGAGGGAGAAATTTCTTGTTTTACTCTTATTAAATGTAGTGTAATTAAAAACCAGTGCCTCTGCGATTTGAAAATTGCGTTTTGTTATATTGCGATTATATTGCAAATGCAATTAATTGCCCAGCACTAGTTTTAATGAAACCAAGTTGATCTAAATGATGGAAAAAGTGGAGCCACAGCTGCTAAGACACAATTCTACATGAAACAGACCTAAATCATTCCTGAGGCCTGCAGGAAAACCACCTGAAGAGTGAAGAATGAGCCGTTTCTGTATGACAACTGTAACCTCTGCAGCGTTTGGCCTAAAATGAAGCTGTTGATGAAGTTCTTTTCATAAACTGACCTATGATGAGAGATCTGCATTATCAATGCTTGGTTTGTTCCTGATGAACATGCAGATTTAAAAACACAGAAACCTTTTAGTTACTGCTGCAGCTTTTCCATTTCTGTCCTTTTGAAAATGGAACTAGAAGAGAAAGTGGAAGCATTTCCTGCTCCTCAGCCTGGTATTTATCCGGTCACTGAACCGACAGAAGACAGGTCTGTGATTTCAGGTGGCTCAGCGTAATGATCTGGCTCCATCTCTGCTCAATGAGAACGCCATCAGCTGCCAAATGAAGCAAACACACGGAGAAACTCTCCCCTGGTCTCACATGCATGCAGCTAAGTCCCGTTTGTTATCCAGGCCATGATGTACTGCCAAATACTGCCGGGCTTCGTACAGAGGATGTGTGCAGACATCATCATTACAAGTTCAACATTTATTCCACATACACACCGAGTCATTTCAGCCCCTTAAAACATGATCAATCATTTATGAACAGAGAATCAGAAGAAAAAAAAGAATTAAAGTTCAGACTTTGACTTCCCTGCAATACGGAAGAGGATTAGGGCCACTGAAAAAATAAGGAAGTTAACTGATTTTTAAATTTAATTTCAGTTTAATATGGGAAAAATATCCCGGAATTCTGAGATTAAAGTCAGAATTCTGAGAAAAAAAGTCAGAATTCTGAGAAACAAAAGTCAGAATTCTGAGATTAAAGTCAGAATTCTGAGAAAAAAAGTCAGAATTCTGAGATTAAAGTCAGAATTCTGACTTTAATCTCAGAATTCTGACGTTTTTCACAGAATTTTGACTTTAATCTCAGAATTCTGACTTTTTTCGCAGAATTCTGACTTTAATCTCAGAATTCTGACTTTTTTCACAGAATTCTGACTTTAATCTCAGAATTTCTGACATTTTTCGCAGAATTTTGACTTTAATCTCAGAATTCTGACTTTTTTTCGCAGAATTCTGACTTTTTTCGCAGAATTCTGACTTTAATCTCAGAATTCTGACTTTTTTCGCAGAATTCTGACTTTAATCTCAGAATTCTGACTTTTTTCGCAGAGTTTTGACTTAAATCTCAGAATTCTGACTTTAATCTTTGAATT